AACATTCTTGTCCAGTCAAAGGTGGCTTCTGTTTGTCCAAAGATTATCCCAGAAGCAGGCATGGTCCAAAGAGGGAGACTTTTGTGGATTGCCTGTGATCTTTTATCATTTGTTGCAGAAACGGACCACTTGTGGATGTAGGTAGCTAACCTATGCTAATCTCAAATGCTTAAACTATCAGCTGTTTAATGAAGGGATGCTTTTAACCATGAGAGCAGGGCAAAGAAAGGTATTATCCAGTTTCTTGGATATCTAATCACAATTTTAAGTGATAGTTCATCATTTACTCAACCTCATGTCGTTCCAATCCATTATGGCTTTCTTTTTTCTGTGGAACACAATGTCCTGTCTGTTTGTTTTCCTATAATCAAAGTAAAATGGGTCAATTTTTTTTTTAAAGAAATTAATACTTTAATTCAGCAATGATGCATTAGTCTGTCAGTAGGGCCTGAGGTCCATTTTTGGCAAAGCTCAAGCTTCTGCCATGTCACATGTGGAAGCCGTCAGGGGACTGGAAGTGATAGATCTTCACACTCTGTGTTCAAAGAAAACTTTTTCCGAGCTCATGTTTCTGAGGATAGTGCATCTTGCCAAGGAGCACTGTAGATTTAAAAGCACATATTCGAACCCTGGCCCTGTGAAATTCCCATTGTTCTGCTCGACCCTCAGTTTGGATATTGGTGACTAGAGTGAAATGGGAAGGTTAAGCCTGGCGCTCAATAGGGATTCCTTCACGGAGGGTATTCATGAAGACTGTGGACCCTCACTCGGCCACACAGCATGTCTAAAAAGCCAAAGCAGGACTGAGCTATTTTAGGGGTGACCTCCTTTGTATCGGAGTTTGTTTTGCTTATAGAAGCAGCCAAAAGCAACAAACTGGATGAAGCAGAGTAAACGTTCACTGAAACGACTAAAAAGCTCTTCCTTCCTGTTGCATATCTTTTACACGCACCAGGAAAGTGCCACGTTTATCTGAGCACCACAGAGATATTACTGCTCCAAATGTAATATTTGTGAGAGGTGAAAGCAAAACTGGGGCAAATTAAAACAAAAAACAATACACTGCTGTCCACCATTTCTTAAAAATTTTTTTAAACGAATTTGAAAACCACAGCCAGCACTGTTATTTTTCTCGTAGCATTTTTTAATTGTTTTTTGGTATGTCATGCTGCTTTTTTGAAGTAATTTTCCCCAAATGTATTTCGTCAGGGTCGTTAGGCTAACTCAGCCACGTCTGTTTGATAAAGGGCAGAGAAAGCCCCCTGAAATCTATACCCTAAACCCAAATGAATTGGCCACTTAATGTCTTCCTAATTTTGTAAATGGACCTAACTCTCAATGGCCACTTAATGTATTTACGAGGTCAAATTTTCATCGGTGACTTTAATAAATCTCCCTCTGGTGCACACTCGCTTTAGGATTAATGTGA